ATGTAACTATTATCAATGACTAATATGATAGATCAAGAAAAAATGGATCGAAAATGGATGTATGCTAGTCGATTGTCAAAAAGAATATGAAGATGGGGTGAAAGAGTTTCGTAGATTTGCAGTTGAGCATGCAAAAGATCCTAGTAGAATTATTTACCCTTGCTTGAAGTGTTGTCATTCAAAGGTAGTTAATGCGGATGTGTTGAAACAACATTTAGTATGTAATGGAATTGATAAAAGTTATTCATGTTGGACAAAACATGGTGAAACTAGAAACATGATGTTGACCTTGATTTACAAGATAGTGTCAATTATGCACCAAGCGAGCCCGACACAACATATGAGTTTGACCAAGTTGAAGAGATTGTAAATGTTGTTGAAGAGGATCTTCGTGATTGTCCTTAGATGTTTGACAAATTGGCAAGTGATGCAAATACATCATTATATGATGGTTGTACTAAGTTCACAAGACTATCAGCAGTGTTAAAGCTACTCAAATTAAAAGCAGGAAATGGATGGGAGTTGGATTACAAGACATTTCAGGTTCCCATATTTGGTTGCAAGTGGGTTGATAACAATAGTGGAGTTCGACAAGATGAGACAGGGTTTATGCAAGTGAACTTTAATTAGGTGGGGTACAAAGATGAGCCATTTATCTTAGCATCACAAGCTCAACAAGTTTTTTATGTCACTGATCCTGTTGATGTCAATTGGTCAATTGTGTTGTTAACCAATAAAATAAATGATCACCAAAATGAAGATATAGAGGATGAAGATACAAATGTTAAGGATGACCCATTGTATGAGATATCACATATACTTGACGATGATCCAACGATAGATGATATCCTGTATAGGAGAGATGACCATGATGAGGGGATTTGGATCAATCCATCATTTTGTGTCCATAAGAAACAAAAAAAAAGTTTTAATTTGACTAGGAAGAGGAAAAGGTTGATTTACACATAATTTTTACATTATATTGTTAATTTATTTTTATTTTTATATCTTTCCTTTATATCGATGGTAACATTTTTTATTACTCTTTTTCTTGTAGGTAAATGGCATCTCCTAGCCAAGATGATAGCTTTAATTCTAATGAACCTAAATGGAAGAAAGGTGTAGTTATTATGAAGAAAATCATTGGAGCTAGAAGTGAAGGAAAAAAAATAGATATAATGTATTTATTTTTTGCTTTGGAATCTTAGTTATGTTTCTTGTTTAAAAATTAATATGTGCTTATTTGTTTTATTAGGTTTCATGGAATGCAAAGGGTCAACCAATTGAACCTGGTGGAACAATATTCATTAATCTCGGGTCCATTGTCCGATCTAACATTCCTATAACATGTGATAATTGGAAAGTTTCGACTGTAAGTTCCTATAAGAACATGATTTGGAAGGATATACAAGTAAAATATACTAATTATATCTACTTATTTTAAATTAGTTTCTATGATTAACCAACTTATTGCTATTATTACTTTTTTGACAGTTAACTTTTAATGTTGATGTATCACACAAGAAACATGTACTAAAGGTGGCATGTAAATTGCTTAGGAATTTTAGAACTTACTTGGCTAATTGTTATCTAAAAGACGAGAATGAGAATTATTTAGATAGTCCACCTACTCAACCTCCTGAGCAGTATGCATCCATGATCACTAAGGATGTTTGGAGAAAATTTGTTGCAAAATGTATGGATGAATCTTTTCAGGTATAATATCCAAATATGGTATCTTTATCCTTTGATTCACAATATGTACATATAACTCATTTACTGCCTTTTTATACAGGAAATAAACAAAAAAAAACAAGGAGAGGGCATCACACTCTAATAAGTACCCTTATAGGGCCTCATGTAAGGGGTATGCATGCCTCGAGCAAGAAATGGTAAATCAATACATACAAAAATATATAATATACAAGTTTCCAATATGAATTCTAACTTGTATGATTATTTTCACAAAAATTAGATAAAGAAATCAAGATCAAATGTTACAAGTGTTCCCCATCAAGAATTGTGGAAGCATGCTCGTGTGAACAAAGCTGGAGAAATTGAAAATGAAAATGTTCAACAAGCATGGGATAAATGTGAGTAAAATATTTTCATAATAAAATATGACTTAAAAATAGTTATAGTATGTGTTATAGCGAGGTTATATGCTTGAATTTTTTTTATATATATTTTTTAGGAATTGTTATCACAAACTATACATCCAGAGGACATAATTAAGTGATGCTCATTCAGACATTCTTTCTCAAGCTTTACGTGTCCTAGAGTATCTTGGTCGTGCTAGGGGTGTGGGATTTGGAGTCACTCACAAAGACTATTTTCCACCAAAAAAGCGACACACGCAACAGGAGCATGATTTATTAATTGCTCAAGTGAGAGACATGAGTGCAAGAATGGCACGAATGGAAAAAGAGATGTTGTCACTTAGACAAAAGGACTCATCAGATAGTATATAACAACTTTATGCTTGTAACAATAATGGCAAAGGGAGTTGCACAATCCCATCTAATAGCTTTCCTGAGGTAATTAATTTCTCTATATTAATTAGCTTCAATATTTTGGTGTAATTTACTTACTTTAAATTTGTAATAGCTCTCTAAATTTTCTTAATTTAAATATTTCATAATATAATTATGTTTTTATAATGTAGGGGGTCTCATGTTGTAAATTGTTTGTATCATCACCATTACTTTGCTTGGTTGCCCATGGAAAATTGCATAATATTCAAAGTGATACATTGAATAGGAGATCTCTACCTAATGGACATGTAAAAGTTAGTATAGATGTTGTTGTAGAGCCAGATGTCTCCTTGCCAATACCTAATATGGATGATGGCATAATGACAATAAGGCAAGCAATAGGTACATTTGTGGCATGTGGCCTATCAACCTCTTACAGGTTGCTGATGCGATATGTTTACACAATTATATTAATTCATAATTATTTATGAAATAATTTACCTATTAGCTAACTTGTTTAATTTGTAACTTTATAGGATTCCACTCTATCTAAAAAGAAAGGGGTTAATAATACGAATGACTCTATTGCACCAAAAGGAAAAAATCGAGGGAAGATGGTTATTCAACATACCCCTCGCACTGTAATTTGTCACAATATTCCTGAATGGTGCAACTACCTCTTTTTACACTTGAAATTGAAGTCGACAAAGTCACTTCTCCCTATAGAAATGGAGAAAGGCATATTTGGACTAGATGAACATAAAGAAATAGTAAATGTAAAAGTTATTGGAGAAATTATTGACCATGCATGGCTAGGTGCTGTTGCAATTTCTATATATATTGAGTACGTTATAAAACTTTGCATCATTAACTTTTAAACTTTAATTAGCTCGTTTATGATATTACTAATTCATTATTATATTATTTTCTTTCATAAGGTACTTGTATCACACAATTATTAAGCCAAATCATATGATGTTCTTCTTCTTATCCCCCTAGATAACAAAACATGAATTACCTGTGAAAGAACGAATGCAAAAAATAGTTAGTATTTTTGTTGATAATAGGGTGCTTCACAAGTTTGTTCTTGCACCAATCAATACAGGGTAAGACTTTTTTCTCCCAAACTTTATTAGCAATAGATTATTTTGAAAGTTATAAACAATTTAGATTTGTTGATTCACTTTATTTTTTTAGCCAACATTGGGTGTTGCTTGGAATCAATCTTAAAATGGAGATAATGCATTATCTTGATCCATTAGAGAATGACATAAGAATGTGGCAAGATTTGAAGAATTTGTTTGAAATGTAATAATATACACATGGTTGACATTTTGTGTGTTTTGTTGTACTATTTTTTTACTTATATATATATATATTATTGTCTTTATTAACTAAAGTTATACAAGCCTACCGAGCTCAAAGAGGAGCTATGGTTTCAAAGTATAAGTCAAGTAACATTAATTGGATAACAATTAAGGTAAATTATAATTGCTATTTGAAAATCAATCAATGATGTTAATTTTAATTATATTGATATTTTTGCTTTTTGGTTATAGTGTTCGAAGCAATCAAATGGCAATGATTTGGATATTACATTTGTTGGTATATGAAGGAAATTATCACCTATTGTGAAGGGGGGACAATTCCAAAAGATGTATAAAATATATTGGTTCCTTATAATTCCTTTTAAGTACCATCTCAGTTGGTTCCTTATAATTGATGGTTTATTTAACTAAAATATTAATAAAGACGATATTTTTTCATGATATATGCATTCTTTATTTGTTAACTTCTAAAAGATGCATTCCCCCGTACTTTTATTTTTTTTGTTTTTATTTTTTCTCTATAAAATTATTTTTCAATTTTTTCACACTTTTTAAATAATTACTCAAAAGGATCCGGTCTCTTTAACTAATAACCAATCACTCATATTTAACTTTAATTATTTTTAATATTTACTTTTAATAAATATTAATTATCTTAAACATTTTATATGTATTGAAATTAAAATACTAGTTATTATTAATTATTGATATTATTATTAACTATTAATATTAATTATTACTCCATCAACATTCATATATGTGAAAAATGCTTAAATTCACACATACTTAAAAAAATTAGTTAAATTAATATAATTTTATTGATTTTATATAAAAATTAAACTTTGTTTCTTAAATTATTTTTAATAATATTATCGAAAAAAGTAATCACATTAAATTTAATTTAAGACGTATTTTTTTTTTAATTTTTAAATGATAACATTAAATATTTATGCTTAAGTTTAAAATTTTATACACCCTTTTCTTAAATATGAGTGTAAGTGTAATAAACAACAAATCTAAGTTTGAATCCATGACTAACCTTGGACTAGATTCTCCTGGATCTTAATTCTTATATCAAACACGCTCCTCTTTTAACTGGTTTTCCGTATGAAGTAAAATAAAACAAACCAAAAAAGATAAAAATGTTAGAAGATATAGCTATTATTATTATATAAATTATAGAAATTATATATTAAATATTGCATCACCTCTTTCAATTCACATCACCCCAGTTGAAATCTGAAACCGATTACAGATTAGAGGCTTCTTCAAACAAGGGGCCCCAAAACCTAAACCCTAATCTGATTTGCTAGCGATTATGGCGTCCGAGAGTGCTTCTCGATCGAGTTCCGCGGCTGATTCCTACGTTGGCAGCTTGATAAGCTTGACCTCCAAGAGTGAGATCAGATACGAAGGCATTCTCTACAACATCAACACCGAAGAGTCCAGTATTGGCCTCAGAAACGGTATTCTTCTGCTACCCACTTGTTTTTTCCCGAGGAATTTCCCTTAATCCTTTCTGGGTTTTGTTAATTTTCTGCTTAATTTGGTTTCCATGGTTTCAGATCTCTGAATTCACTCTCAAAATTTGATCTTTATTATTGCTGAGGTTGTTGTTGTTAATTGCTGAAGGGTGGGCTTTATCACGGGGTTGTGAATTCAGGGCACAGGGAAGGAATTATTATGAACTTGTGGTGGTTTTGGGGGGTTTTCTGTTATAATGTTGTGAAGGGCTTTGAATTATTATTTTTTTATCTCTGAGGCAGCTGGGTTGCGTGTTCTACTGATGTATCTTAAGTGTGTTATGTGCTTTTTAATCTATCTCTATTGGAGCATCTGAATTGTGCTTCTTTCAATATGTGATTTTCACTTGGACAACTACTTAGGTTTGATTCTTGTATTATTTGAGTTTGTTATTTGCTGTTTTCTTTCGTGGATTGTACAGTTATCGCGTTCCAGATTACGCATTATGATCAATAAATTGGAGGAGTACATAAGAATCTCAAAAACTCCCTAAGTGGTTAGCCAGCTAGTGCAACGCCAAAATAAGCAAAATTCAGATGCTCCAGTGGTGATAGATTAATGACAAAGCTTCCAAACACTAAGGCTAGCCTGAATTAAAGAATGAAGATTCATATTTTTCCCTTTATGTTTGGGTTATTAATGCTAGTGAGGGAATAATAATTGGCATACATATTTGTATTCCAGGGCTGTCAATCATGCGCAGTAGAGCCATTGTGGTGGGTCATTTGCTGTAGAACTGTTGTGGCACATCACAGCTTGCTTTTGTTCTTGGAGTGTTGCGAATCCCAACCATTTGTGGCATTAGTAGTGGGTGCAACATTGATTAATGGCTGGAAAATGAAACCCCTGTTTATCCCTCAATCTGGTGTCATTTAAGTTTTATATTGGGGACAGTTTCATGATTTAACTTCCCTTATTCAGGCTGTGCCTCTTCCATGAGTGCTGTGCCTCTTCCATCAGGCTATTTTGTCACCACAGCTCCATCCACTCCCTTCTCCATCTGCAATCTCTTCCTTCTCTCTCTGTGAAGCTGTCTGCATTTTAGTCTCCTTCATTTGCAATTGAATCTTCTAAGAAGGGGGAGGCAATACTTAACCGCTGGGGTCTTAGTATTAAAGTAAACAAAGGGTTAGGGTGGGGCAATTGGCTCAATTACCATAAACATTTGGTATCAGAGGGTGTACTACATAGCATGGCTACTGGGATTGCAAAGCATGCTGGAATGTTACACTCCAATTGCAAGATATAGCTTGATTCCCACATAGGAAGTATAGGGTTTTGATGTGAGGTTTATATGGTCTAGGACTCTCCCATCACAGTAGCTAGATTTTGGTGTGTGGTCTTCCTAGATTTGCATCATTGTTTAATGTTTACTTATTTTAGGCCTTAAATGGTTCCTCTCTTTCATTTTCCTTTCCATTCCCTTCTCTTCTATCTATCCAAACAAGGTTTAACTGTAATGCTAGTTGATGTATTAATTTCCTAGTGCACCATATGGATTTTTTCTTTTTGTTTGAATTCCCATTACATGCATACACACACACACACATATTTCTTGGTTAGAAGTTGCAGCCATTACTAGTGAAAAGAGAAGAATCACATCAAGCAAATTTATGTACTGTTATAAAGGTTTTTCTGTTTGCTTACATTTCGAATGATCAAAACTGTTGATCATTGGTTTTCATATGTGCAAGATTTTCATGCAATGCAAATATGTGGACTATTGCAGCTGTGAATTTTGCCATCTAAATATGTTGTTTACTATCATGGTTTTGGTTGGTGGAGTGATGCTTTTGTTTTTTGTGTTGTAGTGCGATCTTTTGGAACAGAAGGAAGAAAAAAGGATGGTCCACAAATTCCTCCAGGCGACAAGGTTTATGAGTATATACTTTTCCGCGGGTCTGACATCAAGGTATCATGCATGGAATACATAAAAGTTTCTCTCTAAATTGTTAGTGTATTGGTACCTGATTATTATGTTGAGTGTATGTTAGAAACAATGGCATGTCGCTCATGTGACATTTTGTAAAAAAAACCTTTTTGGTATAACTTGGTTCTAGAATCTTTGAATGCATAAACCAGGAGATGAAACATTAGAAGGCTGATTCAGATTTTCTTATCTCTTATGATTTCATGTGATTATCTGATAAAGGCTTTGTTTAAATGTTACTGTGTGGACATGTTGAATGATTGTTGACCATATTATGAATCATATCAGCTGATACATCTGAATTTTTTATGCAGGATTTACAGGTTAAATCTTCTCCACCTGTCCAGCCTACTCCCCAAGTCAACAATGACCCAGCTATTATTCAGGTTGATAATTTTTTTTTGTCTGAATAATGAATTAGTTAAATGAATCACATCCTAATTATATTGAATTGCATTTGCAGTCTCACTATCCTCGCCCAGTCACCACATCTACAACTTTGCCTTCTGCTGTAAGTGGGCCTTTGACTGATCTTGGTTCTCAAACCACCCAGCTTGGACTTCCTGGGTCAAATTTGCAAGGGCCCTTGCCTTTGTATCAACCTGGAGGGAACATAGGATCATGGGGAGCTTCTCCACCTGCTCCAAATGCAAATGGTGGTAGGCTTGCGATGCCAATGTATTGGCAAGGATACTATGCCCCAAATGGGCTTCCTCAGTTACACCAACAATCTTTTCTTCGACCGCCACCTGGTTTATCAATGCCTCCATCCATGCAGCAGCCATTGCAGTATCCCAATTTCAGTCCCTCTTTACCTAATGTATCTTCTAATTTGCCAGAATTACCATCATCTTTGCTACCTGTGAGTTCTAGTACCTCCAGTGTAACATCTGCCTCCTTTCCTTCATCTAATTTGCCTCCTGCACCTTCTGCTTTGCCTCCTGCACCTTCTACTTTATCTCCTGTACCTTCTGCTGCGCTAGCTTCTGAAATTTTGCCAGTATCAGTAACAAACAAGGCACCCAATGTTTCAACTTCAGCAGCCGTGTTAGCTGCTAACTTACCATCACTGACTTCACTGACCGATTCTAGTTCAGATATTAATGCTATAGTGCCACCAATCTCAAGCAAATTGAATGCGATTTCAGGTTCTAGCTTGCCCTATCAAACTGTATCCCAGTTGTCTTCTGCAGTTGTTGGATCATCAAGTACTATCCATACCGAAACATCTGCCCCATCTCTGGTAACCCCAGGTCAATTATTGCAGCCTGGTCCAACTATAGTTTCTTCAGCTCAGCCTTCACAAGCACCTCATAAGGATGTTGAAGTGGTTCAGGTGTCATCAACATCATCTCCTGAGCCATCTTTGCCAGTTTCTGCGGAAACTCAACCACCAATACTGCCATTGCCAGTAACTTCACGGCCCAGCCACAGGGTATCCTTCTCTTGATCTATCAATTTTATGCATGCGGATATCACACACACTAATGGTTTTTTATGTTCTTGTGTTGTATACAATATGGTAGCATGGCGGAGACTAGAGTCTTGTAAATTAACTGGAATAATCTCATCATCCAAAGATATTTAGTGTGTTTGGATGAGTGGTTTTAAACTTGATTTTAGATGATCTTGATTTTGTTTAGAATGAAGTTTGAACTGAAGTTATTTATGTTTGGAAACTTTAATCTAAAAGTTGAAAACTTTTCAACCCAAGTTAAAACTTCCATCTTTTCCTATTTTTGAAAATTTTGATTTTAAAAATATAAGCAAACATGTTTTCTTTCCTAGCAAAATCACATGTGCCCAAGTGGAATGTGCATTTGACATGTTTAAACGTTGTTCCAAATGTGGAAATTATGACAGTGATCTTTCATGGCAAGTCATCTCTACCCACCCTGTAATCAAGGCTTTGATCAAATCAGGAATGTGGGGAAATTGTTCTCTGTAATTTAAATAGTGCACTAACTCTTTTTCCTACTGAGCAACATCTCTGATTTTCCTGTTTCTTTTGCATAGAATTTAAAGTAGTATTTGATCTGGTTTGCCCATGGTTTTAATTGACAACTGCTATACATGAATTATGATAATTGATGAGTCTTTCTTATTTTATTTTCTGTGTACTAATATCAAATAAATTTAGCACTGTGTAATTAATAACTAAGTATGGATATTTTATTACATCAATTTATCCTGTTTACCATCTATTTTTTTGATTGAAAAGGACTTCTGACATTTGGTTGCACTTTTTTAAGGTCAGTGGAGCTCTTAACCAGACTCATCCTGGCTATAGTTACAGAGGACGTGGAAGAGGAAGAGGAACTGGGGTAATGTTCAGTTTACTGTTTCATTTAACATGTATGCCTTTTTTTACAATGGCTTATATCAATTGAAATCGAGAATGCATTGGATGATTTGGAGTCTTAAAGGTTTTGTTGTTTTGGAGGGGGTGTTGGTGGTTTGGATGGAAAAGGGGTTGTCAGTTTTGAGTTTCATACTTCACTTTTCATTTATTATAAATGTTAATATACTCCAAGTTTTTTTTTTTTAATAATTGTTGTTGGACCATTAAGATTAGTTGAATAAATCTACTAGACAATTTATGTCTTTAGTTTTTAATTTTTTTTCTTATATCGATAAGTTATGAAGGTAATATTCAGTTGAGCTCTTGAAAAATTCAATTCATGCTTCACAGGGTTTGCGCCCAGTCACAAAATTCACTGAAGATTTTGATTTCATGGCAATGAATGAGAAGTTCAAAAAGGATGAAGTATGGGGTCATCTTGGTAAAAATAAGTCTAATTCAAAAGACAAAGATGGGGAAGAAAATTCCTTTGATGAAGATTATCAAGATGAAGACAATGACGATGAATCAAACTTTGAGGTCAAGGTAATGTTATCTAGTTAAATGTTTTTCTTTTTTTGATATGCACTTAGTTAAATGTATTTTTGTTTTCAGTCTATGTCTTTGACTCTGCTTTTCATGTTTTTTGCAGCCTATTTATAACAAGGACGACTTCTTTGACTCGCTCTCATCCAACGTGCATGGTAATGCTTCTCAAAATGGAAGGACTAGATACTCTGAACAAATCAAGATTGATACTGAGGTAATTTCTATCTTTCATACTCATCTCATATTTGGGGGACAATGTTCATTTCTTTTTCTGATTTGTGGTGCAGACATTTGGCGATTTTGTGAGGCATCGTGGTGGTCGAGGCGGCCGTGGTGGACGTTCTCGAGGTGGTTATTATGGAAGAGGTGGAGGATATGGCTACTCTGGACGAGGAAGGGGACGTGGTGGCGGTGGCGGTGGCATTCCCGGTCGCAATTTGTAGTTGGCAGCAGTTAATGTTTAGTGATGGACATGGTGGACAACAAGAACCTGGGTAGCCTCCCATTAAAGCACCGTAATTATGTTAGGATTATGCTTCATTGTTGTGTTACCTTTGTTATATGTTTATTTCACAGAATAAGTAGGACATTTTTTTTCCTTTTACCATTATGTTGGCCTTGTTACTCTACCAAAGTCAAGTTGGTTTGATGGAGAAAATGTTTGTGCTCCATTTTATTTATAAGCTTATATCAACAGGCAGGAGTTTAGACTAATTTATTGCAGGTTAATGTTTATGCATGTAAGCAATTAGTCAATCATCCATTTCTTAGGCATTTGTGCTGTGGTGGTAAATGATTGTTATCCCTCCAATTATTTATATGCATATTTTTTTTTAACTATAAGCTTAACACAGTTAGATGTGTTTGAAAATAATCACTTGGAAATCGTGGTGGAGAGTAATGGGTTTTAATATGGACGTCAGAAAAATTCACTTATGATGCTTCTTGTTGTAATACTCTTACGAAAAACTTTTTCTTTGGTAACGAGTAAGCAAGCATACAATAAAACAAGGGCATCACAAATAATTGCTACTATTGTTATTTAACTTTTATGTTTCTTATTGGGTTTCATGCCTTGTATTTATAATAGCTAGGTCTATTTGGAATGGTGGTAATAAGTTCAGTTTAAAGTTTTCAAATTTAAAATATTAAAATAAAACGTGTTTGGTTCTAATTTTGGTGTAAAATAAGGTACTTATAATTTAATTAAGGTTAAACTACTTTTTTTTACTTCTTGTAGTTTTATTTACTCTACCTTTAAGTTCTTATAATTAAAAATAATTTTTTAGTCTTTATATTTATTTTTTAAAATCTTTAAGATAATTTTTTTTTGTTTTTAAATTTGTAATTTTTTAATCTTTTGAGTCTCTAACATTAATTTTTTATGACATGATTTCTGTTGTGTTGTTGTTAGGGATATTTAACTTTGTGTTATCAACATTGAATTTATTTTGTTGGATTTATCTTAAATTGAGTCTTTTAATGTATTGTATTGTTCCTTTTTTTTTACCTTTACTTGATGTTTATTGTTGAGACATTATTTTTTTATCTTCATAAAATTTAAAATTTCTCTACTATGTCAATACATAAGAGGTGACATTACAAAAAATAATAATTAATGACAAATACTAAAAAAAGTAAGTATAGAAATTAAAAAGATATATTTTAAATTATACGAATCAAAAAGAATTAATTAAGATAAATATAGTGATTAAAGATATTTATTTTAAGTTATAACGACTAAAAAATAAAGTAAAATTATAGAAACTAAAATTAATTCTTATATATTAAACATGAACCTCTCTGTCTTGCACAAAAGTATTTTTATGAGCTTTTCTTCAATAAAAAGGTTTGTAGGAATTTTTATAATCTTTTATCTAATTCAATTTTTATTTATTGTTATTATTTTATTAATTAAATATTAATATTTTAAAATAATTATCAATAAATAAAAAATATTTTTTTACAATAAAAATTATTTATCATAAATACAAAATATAATTTATGTTTAAAAATATTTATGTATACTTATTTTAAATATAATTTATATATTCAAATATAATATTTTTATATAATTTATTATAAATTTTAATTATATTATGTATAATAAACATGAACAAACTAAAATACTAGTCTTTAATTAATTTTAAATTGAAAACACGATCGTCCGATCATCAAACAACTTGGACTAGGTTTATAGGATTTAATAACTTAAAAGTAGCATTGAAATTTAAAATTTATAGTACAAAAAATATAAAATACGATTAAAAAAGTTGAAGTTTGGTTTTGTTAGTTTTTTTTTAAATGAAAATTTAAGTCTAACCAGTAACCATCTTACTGAAGGCCTAAAACGATTACAATTGTTATGGTTTATGTTATCATTGAGAATGTTATATACACTTTTTTACATTTTCTAATTATTATAAAATTTTATCTAAACCCACTCTTTAACATGACTCTTGTGACTTGCATCTAAACCACTCAATTAGTTGTTTATAAGTTACAAGAAAATACAAAGGGAATTTAGGAGATGAAGGGTGTGTTTGAAGCACTATTCAGTCGCATTCAACATCAATTTATTCAATTTATTATAAGAGTAGGATGGACGTTGAGGAAGCACTAAATAGTTTTATTCAATTTATTATAAGAGAAGGATTCACGTTAAACATGCACTAAAAAGTGAATATGGGTAAAACAAACATGCTCAAAGTCATTTCACATGACTAAAAAAATAAGTAATTCTCTCTCTCTCTAGCATGAGGATATCATAGATAATTTCCCTCTCAAAAAACATTAGAAGGAAAAAAAATAAAATAAAATCTATGTGTGGCATCAAAAGGGATGACATAAAAAAAAATATTGTTTCTTTCACAAAAATTAGAAGAAAGACAAAATGACTTTACCTCATTTGATATCATTAAGAAGAAAGAAAGAATAATTAAACTATAAAAAAGGTTAATATATTTTTTTTCTGAAAAATATTGATTGATACAATTGATATATTGATTGGTATCGATTTGTGTCCCTTAAACTAAAATGTTCAGAGTTTGATCTTGATCTTAGATATGAAATAAATTATGTTGGAAGAAAAATATTTATCTTGTGTACACTTATAGTCTTCAATATAAATTAGTCATTATTTTCGTTGGTGGATACTTTATCATGGTTACCCAATATATATATATATATGTGTGTGTGTATTTTTTGGTCCTTAATTTTTTTTAAATTTCATTTTTAGTCTTTTAATTTTTTTTTATTTTATGAATTGCAGTCCCTAAACTTTTTATTTGTGTTAATATTTTTTATTTCTTTCATCAAGTATTATTGTTAAGTAGTGATGCTAACAACTATCTTAAAGGTTATGTATATGTTATGTCATCAACTAGTATGACATGACAATCATGTACACTTTTTGAAAATTGTTTTAAGTCCTTATTTCTTCACAATTTTTAGTTTAGTTTCTTAACAATTTTTTGACCAATCTCAGTCTCTTATCTTCTCATAAAATTTACTTTTAGTCCAACAATTTTTTTGACAATTTTAACCACTCAATTAATATTCATCATTGCTTTTGAGCTCTCACATCAAGTACAATCATAAAGCAAAGATGTGACGATCACATTAGTAGTTACCCAACTTTTCATTTGATTTATTAGTTTGTCAACACAACAAATAAATGATACAACATTGTTGATATGAGACATTTTCTTATCGGTTCTATGGTGTTATAATCTTCTCACTACAAAAAAAAAATGGGTTTGAAATTTTAAAAGAAAGAAAAAGAAGAGATATGATAAGAAAAACCAATGATTTTCAATATTCAAGTCAACAACTCACTTACCACAATCCAATACACAAAAATCAACAACTTACCATAAGCAAAATCAACAAACCATTAAATTCTGATTAAAACTCAAAGCACCAATACCAAATGACATAATAGTGTGTTTGGATGAAAAATTTTATAAATGTAAGGAATTTTAAATTTTTGGTATTTGAATTACTTTGATTTCAATTTCTATCATTCTTAAAATATTTTGTTTGGATAAGTCAATTCAAATTTCTTAAATTTTAAATTGTTAAGTTAAATATGATAATTTGATTCCACCACAATAAAATTGATTTTAAAAATATATTTATATGTTGAGACTTTTAAATTAAATTTTATAAAAATAAATATTAATCCATTTTTAAGTATTTAATAATTTTAAAAATTAATATTAGATAATATTTAATAATTTTAAAAATATTTTTAAAAATTCAATAATTAAAAGAAAGAAGAGATAAGTTAAAATATATAGGTGAAATAAGAAAAACAAATATAAGGAATTTCAAATTCTTACTTTTTGGGGAGAGATTGAAATTATACTATTTTAAAGAATTTCACAAATGCTTAGATTTCAAATTCTTTGTAAATTCCTCATCCAAACAAAACATTTCACCTCAAAAAATTTGAAATTCTTCAAATAAATTAATTATCTTATATAAATTCTCCTTCCAAACACACCATAAATTTTTAAACATTTTCCGTATTCCAATCTCCAACCCCACTTTTAGAAGAAAAAAAATACTAAGCTCTCTTATAATTTTATTTCTGACAATACACTCTCTAACACAAGCCTCTTAATGTATTATATTGAAAATTACAAAATTAGGAGACAGAAACATTAATTTGAATGTGAGATCCGTCAATTTTATGTGTTCTCCAACAAATTTTAATCAATTAAAAAAGTTTCAAAATAGTGAATTAGAAAATATATTTCTAGAATTTCTCTTTATACTAGTAATTATTTCACTCCAAACAAATTGCTTAATTATTGATTTTAATTTAGCTTTTCGAATAAATTTTTATTACATACACTACTAGATACTTATTTTCTCTAGGAACACGCAAGCATATTCGTACAATTTTTTACACAGCTTAACACCACTTCTTAACTTTTCACATATAACATAGTTTCAAAAGATTGATCCTTCAAGTAGGTTCTGCACGGAGAACAATTTTATTCGAGAAATGATGCAATTATGCAATATTGAAAGTCGCCATACATCACTTTTCCTTGTAATATATATTGGTGAAATGACACACTTATTCATAGCTTTTATCCTCAACACCCTTTATCTCTTAGCATATATATAATTTGAACACTATAATATCAAATTACTTGCATGTAGAAACTAGGACTTTCCTAGGAGGAAGGGAAGGTCTTCTACCATGAAGCAAAGCATAGTTATCAAAGAAGACAACATCCCCTTTCTCCCACTTGAACTGAATGCTCTCTTCTTCAATGATCTGTTCACACCTTTTCACTACATGTTCTGGAATCTCTGTTCCATCTGCCATCATGGCTGAGCTAAGCTCCTTCCCATACATTCCTACCAAGGTGTTGAACCACATTCTTCTTCCTTTCCTTCCTTCAAATACCTTGGTTAAGTTTCTTGGTCCAAGTATTGTCTTCACCCCACCATCTGGAAGCCACTCCATGTCCATTCCTAGAGCTTTTGCCCTACAACAATTTTTTAATAAAAAATGTAAGGTTCAATGAGCCAAGCCACACATGATGGCATAGAGATTTTCACTAGATTCTCTATGTATAAGTTTACTTATATGCCTATCAATAATGCAGCTTGTTGATTTATTTATTATTGCTTCAGTTAGATCCATGCTAACTTGTCTATGACAAGTTAGTGTACTTGTTAGACATCATATACTCACACATTGTGAGGGTGATTTATTTAGTGAAAAATCCTGTGTTTGATTCTCTTTCTGTACGAAATCCTTTAGGACCAACAATAATAATAATACTGTAAACGAAATTAGTCTTTGCTTTAATATACAGGAAATAGCCGTGACAAAAAAATAGTCTGATGTTGCTGCTATTCTCATGTGTTTAAAAGAAGCAAATAAATACCTTCTCTCAGCTTCTTTGCGATCTGAGGTTCCAAATGCATCCTCCCACCCTCTACCTCTCATGGAGGAGTTATCATTCTGAGTACTACGAGCTGTAAATGAATACTTCAACCCCTTCTTCTCCATCTCCTTCACCTCTTCTGGGAACTCCTCCACCATCCTTTCTGTCACTTTGAAACTTGGAACAAAAGGGGTCTCTCCCCCTTCAGGGGGAGGTATCTCACAAAACAGTATCACTTTCTTGGGGTATTCCCGAATCTGTTAAATTAATCACCAATGTTTGAAATGCACATGGAAAGTTAAGTTTCATTGAAAATCCAAATAATTGGCTAGATATTACTAGTGATTTTTTTTTTCATTAAAGTTATAGTTTTGATTGTTTAGGAAATATATGCAAGTAGCTAGATGATGTATGAAGCTGAATTAAAAAGATATATATTGACATATGTTGTTGTAGGATATACTATACCAGTTCAAATTAATATTTATGTTAAATAATCAGTGTGCATGGGTCACATCACATCATCAATTTCTTCCCCCAATTAGTGTGTGCAAACGTTCGAAGTATATGACATAATCAAAATATTTTATTATCATGAATAGAAGGATATACAGAGAATATTGTCAAACATTATCGACTAGTGCAATTAATTATATACATGTTTTTATGTATGCTAACTTTGTTTCAGTTTGGTCAAACTGATTGTTATCAAAAAAGGATCAAACAAACAGATAATCTGATTAACCAACAGAATTCATTCACTGAAAGATTCTCTAAAATGCATAGTGATCTCAAATTCTGTTCTTTTTATCCTTCTTTGTGATCAAACAGGATCTCAGTTTTTTTGAATTGAAATTCCTTAGTGATTAGTTGAAATGAAAGTTACCAACAACACTAGAAACAAAAAGAAAGAAAAACTGTTTGAAAATACTTATTTCAGCGATTCTATGATTCTTGCAATATGATGATACATGAAACTAGTAAACTGCATCTCTTCTAATGTCAAAGATTGTTCTTCACTTATATATACTATTATGATCATATGAGTAGTTGACGTGGAATCTCTAATATATCATGGTGATGCTAATTTGAATGTATAGTTTTGAGTTTTGGCTTACCAAAACCATTTCATGGTGATAGTATATGAACTCTGAGAGGGGTCCTTCGTTGGCAGTCCATACCCTTTTGTAAATATGCGTGCGAGGTGCTGGTCCTACATAACGAATGTCTTCCCATCCACAGGTTTCTACGATCTCATTGAAGTCCTCAGCATTCTTGACATCATAGCCTCTGAGAAGAACAGCACTGTTCTTGATGATCATTTGCTCAAACCACTCTTTGTTGTTCTTCAGAGCCAAGACCAAGGACTCCAAATCACTCTTGTTAGCCACTGGAGGTTGCAGCACCAAGGGCATGGTTTCTCCATCCACCACTTTTTCTCCCTCACATTTTCCCACCTTGAAGTCCTTGCAAGAAAACTCCATCTTTCTAATAACGTTTTTGTTATAGTTTAACTTGTGTGGTTTTACCTTCAATTGGCTTATATATATATATAGTATAGTAGTGGTTGGTGTTGACAATTACTATGCTAAAATGACGAGGCTGGCTTTGCCATTGGTCTATAGAGATTCTTCTTGTCCTTTTCTAGCTGTTCATTTATGTAAAGAATTTGAGATGATCAGTGTTTTAGGATTTGCAAATTATAAAAAAGCATCATTTTCGTTGAAGACATTTTAGGGGGGATTAAAATTATCTTCATTTGTTTTTTGTTTCAATTGTATACTATTGTTCCAAAAGCAGCCTGCAAAACTGCTAATGGCACAAGGAATTTTTAACTAGCTGAATGGTAATGATAAAATTGAGGTAGCGCCAAAAAAGTGATAAGATCAATTATAATCCCAAAACCAAACTCACAGATATCTTAGTAATTATCTCTGGACGTTGCTTAAGAAATTTTGGTTGTGACTGTGAGGAAGCCACGTAATCTTGTAAAATTTGATTCCTAGTTTTTTTTTTTTTTATAAACTTAATCCAGAAACAATATATTCATTAACTATTAGGATTTTGGAAGCTCCAAGGTTAGTGAGATGCATTGTAAAATGAAATTTCTTGTTCTATAGCAACGTGTCTCTTAGCAGGCCTATGCCAAAGCAAACACTTATTTACTTAGGTTATCACGGGTTAGGATGGATTAGTTTGGTAAAATTTTGAATCAAGTAATCCATAAGCCTTTTATTTTTTATAATCAGGTTAGGTCGGACATAAAATGTTGTATCTAGTTAAACCTTTTGATTCAATGATTATAAGGTTTGTTCTGAGATACATGGGATTACTCGATGTTCCCAGATTCCATGTTTTATGAGCAATAAAGAAAATAACAATAATTTTTTAACACTTTTTATTATTGGTTGAAAATTACAAATTTTGATGAGTCTTAAGTTCTAGATTAAAAGTCACTCGTTAAATAAGATGCATGATCTATGATATTTATATTTTCCAATAAATTTTAGCCAATAAAAAGGTGTTAAAAATAGAATGTCTTTAACATTTTTTCATAAAGGAATTATTATGTGATCAACGACTATTATGGTATCAATTAATCTTTACATAATATATAATAAAATGTAAAGTTTGAATATGTTATATAAATATCTATTTTGATCAAAAATTTGCTAGTATCATTAGAGTTATCACATTTGAAATACTAGTTGCTTTGACCTTCGCTGGACTGTACTTTTAACGTATTCTATAATAAGCTTAATCTAAACTCATCATTATTAAAGTCTAAGTTTGAGCCTATATGATCCTATACCATTAAAGTCAAATTCAATCCGGTAATGATCAAAGTAATGACAAAAATTCAAGTTTAAGAGGGTGTATTGTGTTAGGATTTTAAAGTACCTTTTCAGTTAAAAAAAGTCTTGTAAATTTTAAAAGACTTTGCAAGATTTTCATGATTTTTAAGATTTTGTAAGATTTTACTCTACAAGACTTTTAAAAAGGTGTATTGGTTTAGGATTTTGTAGGATTTTAAAAGATTTTTTTTAGTAAAAAAGTCTGTTGGTATTCGATTAGGATTTTATGTCACTTAAAAATAATATAGTAATATTCAATATGGATTTTCAAGATTTTTTAAAGAGTTCATTAAAATGCATTGATATTCATTTGAGATTTTTTACAACTTAAAAACAATCCATTAGTATTAAAAAATATATAGGGATTTCAAATGATTGTTGTATTAGAGGAATTTTGAAGGACTTTTTTTAGTAGTATCTATAAATATCAAATTCATAAAAAAATCTCATCCAAACCCATCAGATTTTGGAGGATTGTTTGAAGTGACTTATCAAGTGCTCAGGGCCGTATTTAGGAATTTTGGGGACTTGGGCAAAAATTAAGACAAGGGCCTATGTTAATATAGCCTAATAATTTTTATGTTATTTTTCTAGGCTTTTAAGCTGCAAAATTATTTATTAAAATTTTATAATCAAGTAATTCAAACATCTCACTCTCAATAGATAGTATAGTTAACCCATTCAATCTATCTTGTAGCATAATTGATCTTAAATATGATTTAATCAATTTTAATTTTGAAACACTTTTTGCAGTAATCGCAACAGTTATAGGTAATGTTAATAATATTCTATAAGTAATGTATGTATTTGGAAAAGACTATGATCTTTTTATATGGTTCAATATTTTTAATGGTGTGTTAATTTCATTTGTTAGAATTTCTTTCAATAACTTTAATTCTGAAAACAAATCAAGACCATCAATATCAGAATATATGGTCCTCAAAACTCAAAATCTTTTCAAGATTGATACAATATTTTTTCAATTCATCTTCCCCTAAAGTTTTAAATTTATTTGAATTAAATAAAAAAACCAAACATGTTTTCATATTCTAAAAAATGTTTAAATTGATTCTCAATAGAAGAAATAGATTGATGTAATATATACAAAAAATAATCAATGTGAAAAGAATCTTCAACAGAATGAGCTATCTCATCACTATCAATGTCATCAAAATATTTTTTCCTATGAATCTTACATTTTTCATTGAATTTAGGCTCTATATCCATTTCAATAGTCATTTCTTTGGTGGATTCTAATGCAAATGCAAAACCATTTTCCCTATAATTTTTTAAATAAGTTATAAGACATCTTAAGTGATCTATAACAATATCTATATGCATATCTTTAGATTGCATAATCTTACTTACAAAATTAATCGCAAAAAGTATATCATGTCAAATATTTATTCCTAATAAAAATTCAAAATTCTCCATCTCATAAGCCGCTAAACACCTGGCTTCACTCCTTATCTTATGATCTTTACTAGTTTTTGATAATTGAACAAGTGCATCCCTTATTTTTGGTGCTTGAAACTTTATGACTTTAATGCTTTCAAGTAATTTTAATAATAAAAAAATAAGAGATATAAAAAATGTAAGATAGTGTCTTATAAAATATTGGGCCTTATCTCAAATATTATTAATTTTTTAAAAATTAATTTATATCAATAATACTACTATTAAAAGAATTTTGAGGCCTTATAAGTTTGGGGGCTCTAGGCATTAGCCTTAATTGTCTTATTGAATGTCTGGCCCTACAAGTGCTTCAAGAATTTTCAAGTGAGTTTTTCATTTTTTTTTCTATGCTCATGTCTTCTCCATTTTTTTTTCTCTTGCTAATAATACTACAATAATGCTCATATATAATATTGTACTACTATCTCCATTATGAACATAGAAAAATGGAGACAGTAGTACATTATTATATATGAGCATTAGTACAGTATTATTAGTAAGAGAAAAAAAATGTAGAAGACATGAACATAGAAAAAAAAGATGAAAAAATCACTTAGAAATTCTTGAAACAAGTCATTTCAAGCAATCCTCCAAAATCTGATGAGTTTGGATGTGATTGTTTTATGAATTTGGTATTTATAGATACCACTAAAAAGTCCTTCAAAATTCCTTTAATACAACAATCCTTTGAAATCCTTGTATTTTTGAATACCAATCCATTGTTTTTAAGTTGTAAAAAGTCTCAAATGAATACCAATGCATTTTAATGGACTCTTTAAAAAATCTTGAAAATCTAAATTAAATATCACTGATTATTTTTAAGTAACATAAAATCCTGATCGAATATTAACGAATTTTTTTTATTCAAAAAAATCTTTTAAATCTTATGAAATCCTAAACCAATACACTTTCTTAAGCTTATTAAAATCGAATATTGAACCAATACTTAAAATGAACAAAAGTGAATTGCAACAAAGTTTGTTAGCCAAACACAAAGTCACACCAGACAAGTTGAAGAAAGATGAACAACAAACACTCATTTTGGCAAGAACAATATCGTTTGTGATTATAGTGGTCTATAGATAAATGTGGTCCTGAACTACGAGATGTTCCAAAAAAAAGTGTCACAAATATTATAGCGTTTGTTGTTGATCGGCAGACTGCAAAATCAAACCATATATTATAATGAAAAACAATATATCTATATTTGACTTCTATAATATATGCAATGCGACAGTATAATTAGTTTGAATGTTTCATTAGTCACCATTTCCATCACTCATATGATGTCATAACTTCACATTCACGTACACTTGTCATGCTAAATAGAGAGTTTGACCAGCAATTAAGTTTCATTTTATTTTCAACTTCCGACTCAATATATATGTGTGTGCTATCTTCTGCTTGGAGTGTGCTCTCTGTATGTATATGCAAGAGTCTAAACTAAGCTCAGAAACTTAAAGCCAGAAACACGAGACAACTGAATAATCCAACTTAATTACTATAGGTGCATATTTTAAATTCAGGAAGAAAAAAAAAAGACCAGATAAGAAGGTAATAATTACAGTGACAAACACTGCAAAAATCGTTTAATCAAGAAAAGAAAAACTTTATATAAAAAGCAACTTTAAGGCTCGGATAAGACAATTTTCAGCTACCTTGAAGCCTCATAAAAATTAGTTCATTAATTAAGATTGTTGCTTAACTTTGTGAACAATGTTTTTGTTTTGTATAGTATTATAACTAATTATAATTATAAATTTATAATCATCATTGTAATGTTGCATATAACATGTCATCCACACCTTTATATCATTGCTAGGTTTCTAAAACCTACATGTGGCACTTTTAAGCCTTTTTCTAACCTTAAGCTTCTATTTTGATGTTAGTGATGATTGCCAACAATGCACCTGTGATGCATTTTCCTTTTTATTTCAGTGGGAAGAGACTTACACAGTAAATTGGCATTATGCATTCTACCTAGTTTCTTGGTCAGTACTTTTGCCATTTTTCTCTCAAGTTCTTTGTCTTTTAACTTAATCACTAGATAAAATTTCATTACGATTTTATATCCCATAAATTACACTAATACTCTTAAAATTTTGTGAAATTACTTATAATTTTCATGTTTTTCTAACATTTATAGATTAAGGAGAATTAATGTAAGAGTAAAAAAAATGGTGCTCATTTATATTCTCGAAATTTTAGAAATGAATA